GGGATATGTTTAATGAGAAAAAAATGGTTATCAATCAGAATGTTTACTATGATCCTAAATTATAGAAAAGAAAGTAAATAAACATTGTATATACATTGTCAGTGCCCTCTTGCTGAGGACCACCAAGACCACACCAAATAGTTGACCAAACTGGATTTCCTTCTCGTTGCAGCAAGGAACACCCACCATGGAGAACTAAGAGGTGTCTTAAGAAGAAGGCATTAGAAAGGACTTCTAGGATTCGAACTTGTGTTAAGTAATTTGGGGGAAGGTTGAAGTCAGTGGGGCTTGCACGGGATTGGGTACCATTAGGAAGCAGGGGTAGTTTTACGTCTGAGTGTCTTAATCTTTTTTCTAGAGGGAGAAAAGATTAGAATGACGCTAAAGTTGTAATATTTTCTTGTTTGTTTATTTATTTATTTATTTAGAGACAGAGTTTCACTCTTGTTGTCCAGGTTGGAGTGCAGTGGCATGATCTCAGATCACTGCAACTTCCGCCTTCCAGTTTCAAGTGATTCTCCTGCCTCACCCTTCCAAGAAGCTGGGATTACAGGCACCTACCACCACACCCAGCTAATTTTTGTATTTTTAGTAGACACAGGGTTTCACTATGTTGGCCAAGCTGGTCTCAAACTCCTGACCTCATGATCCGCCCACCTCGGCCTCCCAAAGTGCTGGGATTACAGGTGTGAGCCACCATGTCTGGCTGTAATTTGTTTTTAAAAGGCCACAACTGGTCCCATATCTACTAAAAATACAAAATTAGCTGGGTGTAATGGTGGGCACCTGTAATCCCAGCTACTCGAGGGTGGGGCTGAGGCAGAAGAATGGCTTGAACCTAGGAGGTGGAGGGTGCAGTGAGCCTAGATCATGACACTGCACTCCAGCCTGGGTGACAGAGTGAGACTCCGTCTCAAAAAAAAAAAACAAAAAAAAAAACCCACAACTGTCACTCATATTAGCCAGGATGACATACTTAGCCATTTTTTGTGGTTTGGACAAGGTTCATGTTTTATCTGTTTTCAGATATGATTATGGAGTGGTCCTAATTTTGTCTTAATCCATCACAGTTACAGAATACTCTTACCTGACATTAGTGTTTCAGGAAATGGTTTACGTTCAGTGACAGAACACCAAACTTAGTTGTGAGTGCCAGGCTAGCTCCTGAATGCCAGGGACTGATTTTCTTTTCACACATGTGTGTAGAATAGAATTATGACAAATATCATTTATTATATGTCAGTGATATGTCAGGCTGTAGGCACTGTTTTAAGTGCTTTACATCTCCTAATCTATTTAATCCTCACAGCAGTTCTATGGGGTTGGTATTGTTATTCCCATTTTCCAGAAGAGAAAAACTGTGCCATAAAGAAGTAAAGATACCCATTGTATTTTAGCTAGTAAATACTGGAGCAAGGATTCAACTCAGTGGCTACAGAACCAAAAGCCTCAACTTCTATATTATATTGCCTATGTGTACAATAAATTATCAACAAAGGTTGAAAGGTAGTGGGAGTACACCAATACAGGTGTTTTGGTTTCCTTCCTTTTCTTGTTCTTACCTTCCAAATTGTCTAAAATTAATATGTACTCAATTTAAACCGAAAAAGTAATAACTTATTAACGTTCCGGTGAAAGCTCTGATCACAAAGTCATTGGCCCAAATGCAAACCCAGGTCGTTGGTGGAGGCAACGCTCCCAGAACTTCTACAAAAAGAGAAGAAAAATCGGGAGGGGGCAACACCCTTCCTGCACTCCTCTGTGTGGTCTCTCTCTCTCTCTCTCTCTCTCTTTCTCTCTCTCCTCACTCTCACTCTCTCTGCTGCTCCAATTCAATTTAGACAACACTAACTGGATTGCCTGCAGTAAAAGGTGTCCCAAGGTCCACACTCACTTGGTTCTGTCTCCAAATTGAAACATACAGGGTGGAAGCGCCCCTAAAGATACGTAAGGACAGTTAGGAATAGAGTAGGGAGGACTAGAAACAAATGCCTTGGCCCTAAAGGAAAGGCCTTTTCTGTGTGGGAGGACAACACTCTCGCCCTGGCCAGCTGAGCAATGCAGTTTCTCCTGCTCTAAGATGCAGCACAGGCACTGAGGGAGGGCACTCCTTTCTTCAGCCCTTGTGAGGGCTGACATTAAAAGGCCGGAAAGTCTAGGGAAGAGGGCGAACCGAGGTTGGGAGGGAGCCATTTGGAGGGTCAAAGACTTCAGAATGAAAAGAGCTTCGTCAAAATGTTAAAGGCGTCCAAGGAGACCTGTCAGCTGGTTTACCTTCTGTTACTTTTGTCCCTGTGCTGGCATCAGGGCACCTAAAACAGCTCTGTTCATTCCCTGTGCAGAGACCGATTTTAGGCCTCCTGAGAAGTGCCCACCCACTAGCTGCTGCTGGCTCCGTTGCAAAGAGCTGGGTTCGCAGTATTTCCCACCGCCACCCCTCCTCCCCGCCCTTCCATCTTTCCGTCTGCCCGGGCTGAGAGCCACGCGGGGCATCCACCCTGTCATTTAGCACCTCGGCTACGCAATGGTGGGTGGTTTCCCAAAGCGTGTGCCCTCGCAGCCACTCACGCTCGCCTAACCGCTTGCAGGGGCACAAGTCAATGAGGTTTTTCCCTCCGCAATCATCGTGAATCAGCAAAGCGCTGCAGAACAGCGGCATCTCCGCGAGCAGAAATTAAGATGCTGGGGGAATGGCACAAGTGCGGTGTGGCATGGGGAATTTCTAGCCCCTTCCTATGTGTCCCTCCCAGGGATGGCAATACTGGGGGTGGGGAGCCTGCTGGAAGCTGCTGGACTTAGGCGTCCTGGGGAGCCTTTGGCAACAGAGCAGTGTGGGGAATAAGGAGGAAGAGCACAGAAAGTGGATGAGAAATGGGTGGAAGGATCTAGGGAACACAAGCAGGGCAGGGCAGGTGTGCCCCCTGGTCGGGCAGCGCAGCAGGTGCAGGTGTTGCTGAGGAAAGGTAGGAAGGAGGGTCTGGTATGGGGGAAGGGAGGAGATCATCAAATAGGGAGGATTTCCCAAAACGCGACTTCCTGTTTCCAACGTGCAAGTTCCCAAGTTCAGTTTGAGAAGTGAAGGGCCGCTAGGTGTAGGGGAGTCTGGAATGGGAACGTTAGGGAAATGCCTCCCGAAGACACCTTCTCCTACCCATTCTCCTCTTTCTTCCCTCACCACTCCCCTTCCTCCTCCGTCCCTATTCCATCTGCCTTCAGCTTTGATTAATATGCATGTCTAGCTCCTTAGTGCGGGCCACCGCCTCCCATTCGACCCCTAGCACTGGGAGGCTGAGCGGGAGGCTGAGCGCTCCGTGCACGGAGCCTGAGGACCCCTCGCCGTGCCCTGGACCCCACCGCCCTGGCCTGAGGGAGCCCCTCAGTGACCCAGACTCCGAGATCCCGCTCAGTCTGCGTTGCTGTGGACAGACCCAGGAGCTTGGAGCGCGAAATGAAACGCGCTAAATTGTACCTGTGCGTGGCCGTTCCCGCCGCCGCCGCAGGTCTTTCCCCGGGCCGAAGCCGGCGCCCGCCTTCTCGGGGAATTCTCCGGAGGGGGAGTGCGAGGGGAACCACGGTGACTGCCTGCTAGCTCACGGCTGGCTGGGGAACACACGCACACGCCCAACTTTGCCAAGCCATCGGCGCCCCCCGGGCTCCCCCGCGCCCCCTGCGGCTCAACACACTCCGAGACCTGTATCTCTCCTGGTCTGAGATAAGGTTCCCTCCACTCTCACACCTTCGCGGGTGGGGGAGGAGAGGGCGGAGTGAGGCAGAGAAGGGGGTTAATGCTACTGACTCCCTGGCCAGCCTTTCTCAAACACTCTATGCCCGCAGGGGCGCCCGCGCCAGCCACGCCGCACCAGGTCCCCCAGACCTGCTGGTGACGACAGAGAGAGGAGGAGGAGGAGAAGGCAGGGCGAAGAGCCGGGAGCCCGGGAGCCCCGGAGCCCTGGCGACAGACAGTTCTATCGACTGACCGGCATTATCAGCACTTTTATTACTAAAGGACTGGGTGGGGAGGTTGGGGGGTGTGCAACAGAGCTGGACAGCCTCAATCCACTCTGGAGCGACCCTAAATGAGGGCCAGAAAGATTCTCCAAGGATACCTTTTAAGTGGACGTGCTCCAGTCACACAGCCGGACCCCTTGGTCCAGCCGAAGCTACAGTGTTGGGGATATTTTAAACGGCTCTTATTTGGGAGGAGGCGTGATTTCCACCTTCGAGCGTCTTCGCTCCCCACCCCCTCTCCGCACCAGCCAGTGCGCGCCACCACCTGAGCCTGGCGAGAGCCGGGACGCACGCAGTCTTCAGCCTGCTCCTTTTCGCCTCGGGAGACTCGACTCTGAGCGGGTCTGCCCGACACCCATCCCCTCCCCCCTCCGGAGAACTCTTTACTTTTTGTTTGGAAAATCGGGGCCATTTCTTTCTTTATCTCTGGGTCTTCCCGGAGGAGGGCAGAGAAGGGGAGAGCGAGCTCCGCGGGCCGGGCCAGGCCGGGGGAGGGGAGTGCACAGAGGGGAGGGGACTGGGTGTAGCCTGGAATTCTCCGTCCTCGTGTTCCTGGGCTGGCGCGCAGAGTCTCCTGGCGCTAGCGCCGTCGCCGCTCCCCGCGCCACCCCATCGTTGGCCTTGGGGGTCGGGTGAGTGGGGTCACGACGCCCCGCGGGGGCTGCCCCGGGCTCCGCCCGCGCTGAGTGGGCACGCGGCCGGGCGACGTGGAGCCCCCCGGGCGGGGAGGCGGCGGGGGGTGGGGAGGGCGCACGCGATAGGGCGGAGTGGGTGCGGCGCAGAGGCCGCCAAGCTGGGGGGCTCTTCGGGAGGGCGCGGCCGCGGGCAGGAGGGCGTGTCTCCAGCCCGAGGGGACCCTCCCGAGGCGCGGCGCGGGACTCCCCGATGGTGGTGCCGCGGCTCCGGGAGAGCTCAGGGTCTCGCCATCGCCGTCGCCGCCGTCGCCGCCGCCGCGGGCGCCGCCGCCGCCGCCGCCGCCGCCGCCCGAACCCGAGCCGAGCGTGCGCCTCGCCCTCCTCCCGCGCCCGCTCTGCTCTAGGATGCTGCGGCAGGTTCTGCACAGGGGCTTGAGGACGTGTTTCTCCCGGCTTGGCCACTTCATTGCCAGTCACCCTGTCTTCTTCGCCTCGGCGCCGGTGCTCATCTCCATCCTGCTCGGCGCCAGCTTCAGCCGCTACCAGGTCGAGGAGAGCGTGGAGCACCTGCTGGCGCCCCAGCACAGCCTAGCCAAGATCGAGCGCAACCTCGTCAACAGCCTCTTCCCGGTCAACCGCTCCAAGCACCGTCTCTACTCGGACCTGCAGACCCCCGGGCGCTACGGCCGGGTCATCGTCACCTCCTTCCAAAAAGCCAACATGCTGGACCAGCACCACACCGACCTGATCTTAAAGGTGAGAGGGGGGCGGGTGCGGGCAGACTGTGCCAGCGCCGCGGCGGCGGTCGGGCTGGCTCTGCGCTGGGGTCCCGGCTGAGAGCGCCACCTCTCCTAGCCCAGGCGGCTGCCGCAGGGGCTCTCCTGCACCGCGCGCCCCAGGGCGGCCGCCTGGAGCCTCCCAGCCTCCTGGGCAGGGAGCGTCGGGGTCCGGGTCCAGACCTGCCCGCGTCGCCTCTGCCGCCACCCGCAGCTGCTGCAACAGTTGGGGCGGCGACGGCCACAGTGCTGTGGTCGGTGCGCTTGTTTTGGTCGCAGTGGGCTTGGGGGCAGGGAGGCTTTGGGGTAACTGGGCCAGGAAGGAGCAGAAGGAGAGAAGACATTCTGTAAAGTCCTACTACTTGAGAACAAAATACTATGCTTGGAGAGGATTCCGAGATACCCCTCTCTGTCCTCAATTTTGTTTCTCCCTTTTTCTGCACCCCCCGCCCCCGAGTGTTTGTGGAAAGGTTGTTGGTGGGAGAGGTTGGGAAAGGGCAAAAGAATGTGAAGCGGGATGGTGAGGAAAATGCCTCCTACCCGCCCAGAAAGAAATGTGGTCTCTGGCGAGGACAGGGGGCTGCCCTGCTGCTGTCTTCTCCGGAGCAGGGTAGCCATCTCTATCTTCTAGGGTACGAAATTATGTTTGTAATTCGCAGTTACTTCGTCTTTCACAGTAGCTCCTCAAGAAATGCCAAAACTTTGGGAAAAGAGGGAGCCGATCAATCCACTTTTATTTGGGTGCATCTGAGCATGGGGTTGAGGGGCAAAGCCAGAAGGGTGAGAACAGAAGTCGGGCTGTGTGGCCCCCGAGAAGAGCACGGGAAACGGAGCAGCTGGTTAGAGGGTGACACTCGCAGAAACCGGTTTTGCCATCAGCTTGAGGTGGGAATTTGGCGTGGAAAGTGAGGTTAATGGTGGTAACTTCCAGGAAGTTCCTAAGAAAAGCAGAGGAGTGAGGACTACAGATGGAAAAGTAGAGACCTCAGGAGAGAAAAGTAAAAATAGGTGAGAATGTTCCATCTGAATCCCTGACGGGGATTGTGGGGCTTGTTTACTTAAGGTTCTCCTTTGGGGAGGGCAGACAAGAACCAGTCCCAGCTGGGACTCTGGTGCAGAGGGATGGAAGGAAGGTGATGGTTTTGTGTGAGTCTTTAGTCCAGATCTGGTACTAGAAGCGGGTTAGATTTCTAGTCTACTTATCCCAAGGGGAGTCTGCCGGGAAACCTGGGGAACTCGTTCCTCTTCTTTTCCTCTACAGGTAACAGTTTATCCCTAGAGACAAGACAATTTTCATCTATTATTTCCCTCCCTCTGTTTGTTGACATGTTATCAATCAGCAATTAGTAATGAGGGGAAGCTGACTAGGGGCTCAGTGGAATTAGAATCTTCCCACACTCAGTGGCTCACAGATCACACATTTACTCATCATAGAGCCTTAATAACATTAATCCTGAGATGTTTGTTTTTCTCATGATTAGACTTCCGGCATCATTGGTTTTTTTTCTTCAATACTTTAGTGACTATATTGTGACACACAGATAAATACTGCTCCAAAAGCTTCCCCAAGAAAACATGTAGTAGATTCATCATGGGCGTAAGGAAACTATAATTTAACCAGTCTGACAGTTGGAAATGCCCCATGTTTTGATTGATGATCTACTAAATGATATTTCTCTTTCTGTGTTTTTTTCAAGGTGATGTTTCCATTGGCTTATTTCCCCCCTCACAAACTGTGACAGGCAGTTACCATTTACATTCACTCTCAAGGTTAATGAGACATCAACAAGCACATCAGATCTCTTTCAACTGGATTATTTCTTCCCTATTTGATTTTGATCAGTTCAGGACAGAAAACAGTATAATAAGAGAAGGCTGAAACTGGAGAGAGGGAGGCTTGGCTTTGCCTCCATGTCTAAAGGGCAATTTTAAAGGACAATGGTCAAGTCAGTGGATTGTTTTAAGAAGTGGGAGCGTTTTTCATCTTCTAGGTGTCTGAATAAAATCCAAACCAAGCCTAATAGTGGTCCGAACTCATTTCTAGCTGATGACTCTCTGGTTAAATGAGTGAATATAGCTTATAAAAACCCAGACTTATGAAACCAAGGGAAAGGTCTTCAATTTTAAATTATATATTCAATGTTTTCTTTCTGCATCCAGCCCTTATTTTTGGTAGGTATGGAGCCAGGGGACAGGAAAATGGACCTTCAGTAGTCATGGTAATGTAAAGTGTGGGAGTGAGCACTTTTTTTAATTTTGTTTTTCCATTTAGAGACATGATGACTTGTCCTTTACAAAAGGTGTCAGGAGTGAAAGAATCACTGCTGTTGTCGGTACTAGTGTTATTCTGATACCTCGTTACTGGCATCAAGGATAGCATTGACAGTGAACACTATACACACCACTGAAGAGTCCCTGCCTGTTTAATGGCATCGTATTTGAAATGAAGTGAAGTGGACAAAGCATAAGGAGGGTCTGAGGCTTTTTCAGACCCCGGTACAAAACACAGGAAGTAACTTGTAGGGCTGTGTAGGGTGTTGCTTCAAGCATGAAGATTAGACCCATTCTCTCCTCTTAATGTTTTGGGATTGTACCTGTTCAGTGAAGGCGGAGATCCCTCTTGGGATATTGGTCCTGCTATTTGCTGACAAAAAAATAGACTGGGAGTGATGACAGAAAACGAAAAGCCTGGCTGACGTTTTTAAATGTAATTGAGAGTATTACAGAAAAATATCTGTATTTGAAAATCCAGCTGATCTGGTTTGGAGGAGCTTTCTCGAATTTGCGCAAGTGATGTGATTATCGTACCCTGACACTATAGCCTAGAAGTTGACCCCACACCGAGAGGCAAGACTCTTCCCAGCATTGGTTTACCCGGAAGGCTACAGGGCAAAAATGTAATATTAGGCAGAAGTGGGTAGGACCTGGTGGCGCTGATAAGGGCTCAAGCATTATTAATTTCTGAACCTCTTTAAATAAATGCTGAAACATCTTCCTTTTCCTAGAAAATTAAATCTAGCTGATTAGATCTTTTAACAGAAAATCCATGATGTTCATCTCAAAGCAAATTTCAAAGTAGGCCCTCACTAGCTTTTATAGATACGTTTCTTTTCGATCACCTAAAATGAAGTGTAAGTAGGTCCCTTTGATAATTGATCCAGGCTGTTAACAAAACAATACTTGATATCCCAGAATCATCCATGTAAAGTGAAGAATCAGTACAGCCCAGTACTTATGATAATGACATCATCTTTATAGCACTTTATAGGTTATAAACATACAGTATGTTTAAATACAGTAAACTAGGAAAAATACTATATCCCATTTCACATATGAGAAAACTACTCGTTAGAAGTTAACTGACTTGACCATGGAAAAAAGACAAGGCTAGAACCAGAGCCGGACTGGATCCAGGGTTTTGGACTCCAAGCCTAGTGTTCTTTTCACCATAGTTTACTTTCATATGATACACTACTTGAATGATTTAAAATGTACATTTTTGTTATCCAAATGAAGTACAGTTGACCAAAGTTTTATATCCCACCCCATACAGTTGTTTGAATAATGGTAATTGGATCATAAGGATATTTTCTTGACTGATTCTGTCTGGTGTTAATTAAAATCCACATACAGAAACTCCAAATGCCCAAAGTAAAGCATAACGTATATGTAATTAATAATATACAAGGATAGAAAAATATCTTATTAGAAAAAATCTCTGGATGACTGAATGTAGCAGCTTCCTGACTGAGTGCTGCTCATTGGCAGGGTTCAGGTGGATTGAACTTTAGTGCTTTACACAGTCCCCAGCACATAATAAATACTTGTTGAATAGACCCTCCCTAGTATACTCAGACACCTATGTGATGAGTTAAGGAAAATTCCATAAATATGATTTTGAAATATATTTGTATAGTGAGATTTTTATTTTTCCAACTTTACAGACAGTTTCTAGAATTCTTTGTTTGCAAAATATCGTTCTTTCCTCCTTGATAACCTCTGTAGTCACATCAAAGCATATTTCAGTTTTAAAATTGAGTAGGGGCATTTCCTTCGTACAAAGTTCTCATCTTCAGAGGAAACTCATAGGATGCTTTATTCCAAACCACAGGAAGGATGCATCCTCACTTAGCAAACATTCTTCCATTTACTAGGAGATCTCATTTCGTTCAAATGTCAAGTTTCTGTTTTACTTAAACCTTTTATGTTTAAATTCATTAAACAGAATTAAGTTGCAAACAAGATTAATAAAATCTAACTTGAAGTTACTTACTTCAGGCTTTCCAAGAAGGGCAGCATAACTGCTAGCTCAGGGTCACAAAGCCTGAGTAGCTGGTTCAAGATGACAGCTTTTCCATATACTGTCTCAGTGCTTTTAATCATAATGGGAATCCCCATCATTTCTTTCTCCCTCGGTCTAAGGATCAGCAAATTTCAGCCTATTTTTGAACTTAGATTGAGTTTTTACAGTTTTAAAGGATTATAAACACAACAAAATAAAACCCAAGAAGACCATATAGCAGAGACTGTTCGTGGCTCACAAAGCCTGAAAGATTTGTTATCCTTTACGTTAAAAGTTCCTATGTTGTATTCTAAAACTTCATTACTAGAGCACTTTCAAGAAGTTAATACTGTTAACCTGTAAGGCAATAGTTCCCAAACGGGGCTGACTGTGCACCCACCCAGGGGACATCTGGCAATGTCTGGAGACATTTTTGGATGTCACAACTTGGAGAAGAGGCATGTGCTACTGGCATCTAGTGGGTAGAGGCCAGGTTTGCTCCTAAACATCCTGTGATGTGCAGCATGGCCTCCACAACAAAAAATTGTATATTCCCAAATGTTAATAGTGCCAAAGTGGAGAAACTCTCTGCCTTGCATGTTTTTTTTAAAGATTCTTTTTGGCTATATTGATTATGTAAAATGAAAAGATGGCAAAGAGAAATTCATAGAACTCTGGGGGCAAATATTATGACCTCT